ACAATTACTTTGTAAACCTATCAAGGTAAGGATTAAAACAGTCACATATCTGATGCTACAAGATATTTAAAACACACTTAGCCAGAGCTTTCAAAATGTAGATAAGAGCATCAGAGGCCACTTACAGTATAGCGTTTCTTCTTGTCTCTCTGCTCATTGGTGCACGGAATGCTGACATTGGGGCAGCTAGGTTGCTCCTCCATCCTGAGGCTTCTCAGAATCTCACAAGCAATCGCTCATAGATGCAACAGGTCCTCAGATTGCTTCCCTGCCTCGCTGGCACACCTGGTTCTGATGAGAACTCTCCATTTTGGTCCTGCACAGAACACAAACAAACATACCACAACATAAGCGAGATGTTCTATCACAGCCAAGTGCTCTTTTCAGCAGTGTCCAGCATCCACTTTAGCTCCAGAGGGCTTTTTGGGCCTTGCATGACAGGACAGGAAGGCCACTCAGAGTCACTAATCAAGTGTGGCATGAACACAGAGAGGACCCTCAGTCTGTGCGACCAAGCGATGAGTCTCCACCTCTCTTTTCCTCACTCTCTTTCATCCTCCCCTCTGCTTCTTTCCAACTGGGAGGGAGCAAACGGGGACATTCTTCTTTCATATGCCACTTCCACATACTCCCTCACGCTCACTGGGTGGGCGACATTCCCCTGTCCCTCTGAGGTACAAGAGGTATTTTTAGATAATGCTGCACTGGACCTACAAAATGCAGATTTAAAGGTCAGGGGGAGCCTCTCAAGAGCAGCTTATGATATAAATATATCTTAATTTTGAACTCCCTTTAGGTGGTCAAGGATGAAATAAGGACTTTCCACTGTATATTAGTTGAAAACACAATTAACATACATGAAATAACCCCATTGCATACATGAATCACCTCGTAGCAGATCTATACAGGTGGAGCTGGGGAAGGGGGAGGGTTTCTGAAGCAAGCTGCACTGCTACGGCAAGCTCTAGTCATATATTTGAATGTCGAGCAGTGAGCTCATTGGCTACTAATACAGGAGAGAACCAATCAGCTGCACCATGTGAAAATGATGTCATTACAACTTGAAAAATCAGCAGTGTATCAAATACTTATTTGCCCCACTGTATATATTTACAATAATAATTTGGAATGTAAAGAAATGCTGAATTTAAAGTGGCTACTTTAAATGCACCAACCTAACAAAATAGTGAGCACTAAAACAATATAGAAATAAAAACAGACAATTTTATATAATACAATTTTATAGTCTTTATACATAATATAATACTTTTTTTTTTTTAAACAAGCAGTGACATTATTATAAACCCACCGGTGTTACTCTTTATTGTATTGCATGAGATGAAATACAAACTAAATGTGTGCAGATGAAATAACAGACTGTAGCAGTTGCAGACACAGCTCACCATATCACTGCGATCTGTATTTTTCTACATTCCAGCGAACTTGGAGGAATGTCACAGGTTTATTTGCCTACGTGGTCAACTATTCAAAGACTTGGATAGTTCAATGATTTAATGGACTACTTCTGAAAACCACATATGCGTATTTAAATGTGCATGTGTGTGCATGCATATGTAGGTATTGGTTTAAATATGCAAATAAATGTACTGTTCTGGCCAGCCCTAATGATTTACTTGCAGATGTCTCATGTCTCATTGTTCAACTAAAATCAATCACCAGGAAGCATAGCATGCATTCATTTACATGTCTGTTCCAGTGTCTGAGCCAAGTAACAGAGTCACTTCACTTTAAAACTGAAACCAGAGGCTGGGTTCTTTATGCATTGCATGAGAAATGAAAGATCACTCTAAAGGGCATATTTCAAATTAACATAATAAAATAAGGATAAAGGATACAACAGATTCAGGCTCATTATTATGCTTCAAGAAAAGTTCAAGAAACTATAGCCACTTAGTTCATGTCTTCACTACATTGGAGCTGTCAAAATGTTACTGTTATTAAATGTGACCTCATCCTATAACAACTCAGTCAAACAGGTTTGAACAGCAAAAAAGAAAGTACAAAGGAACAGGTATAAACTTGCACGAGCATGTCACACATGAAATCTAGATTTATGCTGAGCAAAAATGCATCAGTACAGGTTTGTCTTTGAGACTCTCTGGTTTTACTCACATTAAGAGTAATCCTACACTATTAAAAAAGATCAATCTAAAACAACAGTGCATTAGAACCCATAAGTAAAATGTGTGTCAAAGAAACCAACTGTTTCTGTAATAAAACTTATTACAGTTTAACTTGCAATAAATAATTCTAACGGAAGGCTTGGTGAATATTTCACTTGTTGGTCATATCATTTTTTTTCAACAGTTAACATTGCGTGAGGCTATGCTCATGGATACTAAATGACACAGACTAGCCCACGTAAGATTCATAGTTTCATTTCCCAATAAGCAACTATCCCTTGACATTTCTCACTTAAAACTGATTTTTTTTTAAATGGTGTACTAACATAAATGCAAATTCAATTTAATATAATAATATAACATAATTACATATAAAACAATTTTTTTTAACAATACATATTATTTTAAGTGTCCAATAATGCAGAATTGTTTTTATTTATAGCATCAATTTTTCTATTTAACAAAACAACTAAATAATGTGACTACAGTATATATTGGGTGCTTAATATTAGCAGGCAATATTGAAGAACTAATTAAGTAAAACAGTGATAATCAAACTGATTACTGGTCTCAAATTATTACATCAAATTATTTTCACATTTATCTAAAAAATATATATTAGCACTGCTGTTGCACAACACACTCAAATGACATAAATGGCTGAAAAAAATGAATTTTCTAAATCCTGATGACCATATGGCGTAAATGGGGATTTTCTTGTACATATTTTCCGAAGGTAAGAAGCAGTACTGTAAACTGAAACCAACCAAAGCTTCAAAACAAATTCCTTTTGACCGTGGCTGACATTTGTTCCTTTTTTTGTAGAGCCCTGTATTTCTGGCATTGGGCTTGCCTGTTTTAAATAAATAAATAATTTTATTACGTAATGTACATTGTGTACTATTGCAGAGAATGGACCTGTTACAGCCAGAACTTACTACAACCACCGACGTACCTCTAGAATCACTCGCGTGCTACAGATTGCTCAAAGAGAGTAAAGACATAACTTGCCTTATTATTTTCTCACTCTTTCCATGCAACTGGCTCCAGTGACGTGTCGGGGAAGCAAAGGAAGTGCAACGATTCAAAAATCAAACTCGGCGTGTCTGGGAAACTAAATATCGACCCAGCTTAAGAGAAGAGACAACATACATCATGTTACCAATGAGCCGCCCGTCAAATAAAGACACATTGACGTTTGTTCCGAAGTTCCGAAACAATCAGTCACGCGACCAAACGCGAGGGACGAAGAATAATAATGTTGTAAAGGAACATGAACAACAGCACCATCTAGCGGCAGAACTGTCACGCATACTGTCAGTCACATTTTATATTATATTATTTATATTTATTTATATTTGTTTTACTGTTTTAGGTTCTGTTGTGACAACTATATATAATATTACATTCTAAACTTTTATATAATATGATGGAGTGCTATTCCTCATGACTAAAATAGAAAAGAATATATGTACACACACACGCAGTGACACACACACACACACACACACACACTAAATATTATCATATTATATTATATTATAGTATGTAATATGTTGAAAGTGCAATTGCTCATGAATAAAATAAAAAAGCATGTAGGATATTATACTAATATACTATATTAAATATGTTAATTACTATATATACACACACACACACTAAATATTATATTATATTATTGAGAGTATGTAGTATGTTGAAAGTGCAATTCATCATTAAAATAGAAAGGCATGTAGGAAATATTATGTCAAACAAAGCAGATATATTCATCTTTAAATTTCCAAAGACAAAATAAAATCACAAAATATCCGCAAGAGGGCAGCAAGGACTTACATAATTAGAAAGCTCTGTAAAATGTTCAATATTATATTAAATTATAGTATGTAATATGTTGAAAGTGCAATTGCTCATGAATAAAATAAAAAAGCATGTAGGATATTATACTAATATACTATATTAAATATGTTAATTACTATATATACACACACACACACTAAATATTATATTATATTATTGAGAGTATGTAGTATGTTGAAAGTGCAATTCATCATTAAAATAGAAAGGCATGTAGGAAATATTATGTCAAACAAAGCAGATATATTCATCTTTAAATTTCCAAAGACAAAATAAAATCACAAAATATCCGCAAGAGGGCAGCAAGGACTTACATAATTAGAAAGCTCTGTAAAATGTTCAATATTATATTAAATTATAGTATGTAATATGTTGAAAGTGCAATTGCTCATGAATAAAATAAAAAAGCACGTAGGATATTATACTAATATACTATATTAAATATGTTAATTACTATATACACACACACACACTAAATATTATCATATTATATTATATTATAGTATGTAATATGTTGAAAGTGCAATTGCTCATGAATAAAATAAAAAAGCATGTAGGATATTATACTAATATACTATATTAAATATGTTAATTACTATATACACACACACACACTAAATATTATATTATATTATTGAGAGTATGTAGTATGTTGAAAGTGCAATTCATCATTAAAATAGAAAGGCATGTAGGAAATATTATGTCAAACAAAGCAGATATATTCATCTTTAAATTTCCAAAGACAAAATAAAATCACAAAATATCCGCAAGAGGGCAGCAAGGAATTACATAATTAGAAAGCATTTACATTTTACGTCGCAGTGCTGTATATTATATTCAAAACCTGCCAATAAAGCGTATTCTTCACTACAAAATACCTTTAGATGATTTATTTAAACATGAACAGTTTTAGCAGTAAACACAAGTATAATTTCATACTACCACTAGCTGCATGCAAATAAAAAGGGCGTCAGCAGTTGCTGTTCAACAAGAGCGCGCTGCTCCGCCTACCTCTTTCCACCAATCAGCGGCGAGGCCGCGTGCGCAGATTCAAACCCGTTTCCGGAAGGAGGCTGGGCGCGAGATTCGGCGGGATGGACAAAAAATGAAACAGAATGAGAGGAAAAAACACACGCGCCGAGAACACAGTTCAGAGTGACAGCACAGAGGGGTGTGCGCGCGTTCAAGGCGGGCAAGACTAACACAGTTATATTGATGGACTTTTTTCCGGTACCATTTTGAGATCGCATTGGAAGTATTCTTTTTTGACTTGTATTATTGAATAACAAGCATTTTGGAAGGACGTTTTACATTGTAATATTTATTGCATAATCGCTCTCGGGGATGTGACTGTACGGATCTGAAGCTTTTCACGCAAAATAGACACATGTGTGACAGTAGCATGTGTGGATAAATATCAGCTGTGTGTTTTGATTTCAAGAAGAATTGCGACATTGGCTGTTTTAAAGACTTTTCCCTTTGAAAAGAACTGGACTTGAACACAGTTGTCATGGCCAATATGAAGTCTCGCAGGTGAGATGGTGGATCTTATACGGTGCCTTGTAAACTTAATCAAAATCATATAAATAAGAATGCTATTTGCTGTCTTATGGATTGTGTGCAAATGTACAGATCTTATGTTGATGTCCAACTTACAAAACATCGGGAGATCGTATCGATTGTTTAACGTTATATCTGGAGATTTCAAGATGAGCTCTTTGCGTCACAACAGAAATTGCTATGGCAACAGTAAAGCTCAAAATAAGAGTGATTAAGAATTGAATTGCACAATATCACCTAAAACGTTATTAAATGTTGGTATTTGGTATGATATGACAGTCCGATCCCTGTGACGTATCATGTTGCACCTGCTGACACACAAGGTTGATCATGATCTAAAGACTGACTAAAGCGTTTAAAAAATATATTTACATATTTACTATATCTACAATCATGTTTCCTCATGTCAAATGTCTTTTGTCAAACCGTTTCTTAGTAGATTATTGTGTTAGCCTGAATGCTAGCGGTTAGCCTAGCTATCCCCTATTGAACAGTACAGCTGGAGTGAACTAGCATGCTAACCGGCTATTTCGTAAACTTGGTCCGAAAATTAAACGAAACTAGTCATCAGTGAATAAAAAAAGTTTTAGATTCATCTACAAGTGAGAGTGATCACAAAGCAGGAATAAGGGAAGGTGCAAGTGCAAGTGGATTATGGTATTAGATGAACCAGTTGTGTCCTGCTGCCTTTATAATAGGTCATTACATAATAACTACATTATTAGACCATCAACATTTAGGTTTAAAGTAGGTTAAGCAGATCGTGAATATGGCATTACTTGTATCTTACTCTTTGTATAAATGTACGTGTTTGTTATACTTTTACACTCAAATACATTTCTGAAAATGTATAAAGCCTATAATTCAGCTTGATTTGGAGGGATAAAGGAGGAAAAAATATTATAGTCACTTGAAATTAATATATAACGTATAAAATTTAGGGGTAAACAAGAAGCATTTGACTATATATTAATCTGTGTATTAGAGTTGTAACTAAAGGACTGAGTATATCCATCTTGTGTGTAATGTTTGACACACAAGCACTTATTCATATCTAGTTTGGTTTATAAAACTGTGCCAGTCCGATTTTCCAAACAATGATGTTTATAAAGGAAGGTGACGTGCAGCTTGGTTGTTGTACCTAAAAAACACATTATGTTATTTATGGTTGAATGGAGATTTCAATGTGTGTGTGGCCCTGGTGTTTTTTTATTATTTTATTTTTTTAATGTAAAAATGCAGAGGTTTCTGTAAGGCTCATGTTTAGAGGTAGGCTTAGTGTTAGGGGATATAGTATGCAGTTTGTACTGTATAAAAGTCATTATGTCTATGGAAAGACTCCATAAAACATGGAAACCCGACATGTGCATGCGTGTGTGAACCTCCCTTGTCCTCTCTTTGTTGCTATTAAATCGGGGGTTGGTACATTTGTAAATTTATGTTTCACATATTGATGGAAGATATCTGAATGTAATTAAAAAAAACTAGACCAGCTGCAGGCCTTGATCTGACAGACTAGAATTGTGTCCACATCCTGTTTGCGCGCTTCCAGTGGCCAGGCATTACTTTGGGCTGCCTCCTGACTGAATGATGCAAGCAAATCACCTCTGAAGCAAAACAGGCTTGTTCATCACCTCACCCCTTCCTCGAGGGTGGAGATCATACTAAAGCATGTTTCTTAAATGAAACACTTCTTTCATCGGGTGGCTTGTAATACTGAGAGCCAATGTTTCAATGCTAATTATGCAGACTGGCAGCAAGAAGGATTTTGGACTTCCATATTTGTACCGCTCTAGTCAAAGTTGGACTTTGGCCTAAAAATACACCTAAACACATTTTTTCCTCACAACTTCAGACTTTAGTTTACAGCAAGGCATTCTGGTAGAATGTGCTGTTGCATATTTTTTTAATGATTAGACTTCCTTGTTCCTTCCTTGCTCTTTTAGAAAATCTTTCAGCTCTGGAGCAAATAAGGCTTGAGGTTGGTTTATGTTGATAGTCACTATTAGCATTGGATAAATGGTTTTCCATTAAGTTTGTGCTCTGGTATGCCAGGGAGACTTAACTACCCAGTGCATGGTGTTGATTAAAAACTGTCTACCTCTTGGTAAAATGTTACCAGGCAACAAGGCATTCCTATAGACTTGGGCAAAGCAATTGTCACTTTGATTTACTTGTGTGGACATGACTTGAATGTGCATTTTGTAAAGGTTTGGATAATGGAAAAAATAATTTTCAAATAAATATAAAAAAATTAAAATGCAAACTAATGCAGTGGAATAATTTGAATAATGCTTGAATTCACTTTTGTAGCTTGCATTGCCAACTTGCAGAGTAATTACACCCAGGCATGTCCTGTGTAATGAGCGGGCTGCTTTTCTAAACTATTTGCATCTCGTATCTACAGATGAGTGATCATGCTTGTCTGCTCAACGGTTTGTGTCAGGCAGACAGTTTGAGAGTAATGGCTTCTGTGAGATAATGTTTGTCCAGTTACACAAAGTAGAGAACTCTGTGTTTGACTCTTCCTTTTCTGTAATATCTGTTTGTGTTATATGGCTGCAGTGAAGATGAGGATGATGAACGTCATTCTACGGACCCTGACAGCAGAGACTCCAAGAATTCCAAAAAGACCCTGTGCAAAATTAAATGGTCCCGGGATGAGGTACTTTATGCATTTCTATGCTAATTTTAATTCTTCTACATACAATAGCATTCAAAAGTTTGGGGTCTGTACATTTCTTTTTCTTAGAAATTAGTACTTCTATTCACCAAGGATGCATTCAATTGCTTAGATGTGACAGTAAAAACATTTATTTTGTTACAAAATATTTCTATTTCATATAAATGTCGTTCTTTTGAACTTTCCTTTCATCAAAGAATCCTGAATATAAATGTATCATGGTTTCCACACAAATATTTCTGTATTTTTATCAAATAAATGCAGTCTTGGTTGAGCATAAGGGACTTCTTTCAAAAACTTTTTAAAAATCTTACTGACTACAACTTTTTGAATGGCAGTCTATTATATTTTAAGTTTCAAATGGGATAATACTTGGAAACTACTTAGGTTTCTATGATGAAACAGGAAGGGGTGGGGAATTACAAAAGTGCTGTTAGTTTTGCTGTCACAGCTTGCTAGTTGTGTCTGAGATGGAAACCTCATGATATCTGTTTCATGCACAGGATGAGAAGCTAAAGAAGCTTGTTGAGCAACACGGAACTGATGCTTGGAAATTAATCGCCAATTATTTCCCAGTAAGTAACTTGCTGTATCAGATGCTTAATCATTACTTTGAAAGCATTTTTAAAATGTGTCTGGATTTTTTATTTTTATTTCACATACATATTAAACTTTCTGAAGGAGCCAATTTTCGGAAGTATAAGTTAGTTTTGCTGTCACAGCTTGCTAGTTGTGTCTGAGATGGAAACCTCATGATATCTGTTTCATGCACAGGATGAGAAGCTAAAGAAGCTTGTTGAGCAACACGGAACTGATGCTTGGAAATTAATCGCCAATTATTTCCCAGTAAGTAACTTGCTGTATCAGATGCTTAATCATTACTTTGAAAGCATTTTTAAAATGTGTCTGGATCTTTTTTATTATTTCACATACATATTAAACTTTCTGAAGGAGCCAATTTTCGGAAGTATAATTTAAAGGATTTAAAATTAAATTAAATGTTACTATACTGTACCATACTATACTATTTTACTATAAAAACATCCAAAAAGCCACATATCAAGTTCTTTATAAATATCTTTAGACTGAAAAATACTGTTGCAGTGGAAATACTAGATAGAATTTCAGTGGAACTATTGTTAAATGTATGTTGTATAGATAGTGACAGGCCTGTGTGTTAGTAAAGATGTTATTATAGGTATATTAGCTGCAGGTGTTGATGTGGGATTTTGTTGCACTTTGACAGACTAGGACAGATGGTCAATGTCAGCACCGTTGGCAAAAGGTGCTCAACCCGGAGCTGGTGAAAGGACCCTGGACAAAAGAGGAGGATCAGAGGGTAAGACGAGCTGGGTGTTCTGTGTCCTCAGAGGAAGACAGAGATGGATGAATAAATGGCAAAAGATGACGGATTTGGGCGGGGTGTGATGATCTCATAGTCTTGATTTTGAGTTTTAGAGTGCAATTTCAGAAGAACTGGCACTCTTATAAACATGAAAAGTCACTTTCTGCCCTATTCAGCTTATAATGTTAATAATCTTGAGGTTGGACATACACTACCGTTCAAAAGTTTGGGGTCAGTAAGACTTTTTTTTAAATGTTTTTGAAAGAAACCTCTTATGCTCACCAAGACCGCATTTGGCATCAATTACTCCAGTCTTTAGTGTCACTTGTGTTCTGATCATCTGTTTTACATCTCAACAGGTGATTGAGCTGGTTCACAAGTATGGGCCCAAACGGTGGTCAGTGATTGCCAAGCACTTACAGGGCCGCATAGGCAAACAGTGCCGAGAGCGCTGGCACAATCACCTCAACCCAGAAGTGAAGAAATCCTCCTGGACCCAGGAAGAGGATCGTATTATCTATGAAGCTCATAAACGTCTGGGCAACCGGTGGGCTGAGATCTCAAAACTGCTTCCTGGACGGTAAAAAGCTCTATTTTAACTCAAAACCTATGCAGAATATAGAAGAATACCAGAATGTCTGTGCAGGTCAAATAATGAACTTTACCTGACTGGACTCTTATAGGACAGACAACTCCATTAAGAATCATTGGAACTCCACCATGCGCAGGAAGGTGGAACATGAGGGTTACTTGCAGGAGAACAGGAAGAGCTACAGCAGTGACCCTGACCAGAAGAAACGACCCAAATCCAGTCCAACTGTGGAATATCAACATGACCAGAATCAAATGATCATGAGTGGCCAATCACAGGTGATAACACTCACAGTGATGCTGTGTTTGCATCAGTATTATATGTGTCATACTTATTTCTGTCAAAATCTGTCAAATCTATTACCAGTAATTTTATAGATTATAGTTTATATTTAGGGATTATAGTTATTTATATATATATATATATATATATATATTGCTATCGGTCAATATTAATTATGCATGCTAGTTTCCCTTATTTTTACATTTAGATTACTTTGCTATCATCTTAAATTCATTTAATGTTAATGTTTAAAAACTCTAATAATTAATTATATAAATTCAAAATAAAATACCAAAAACAAGGTGATGCCTAAATTCACTTGTAGCATTTAAAATAATTGATTTTAGATTTTGGCATTTTATTTTGACAAAATATTATGGAATTTTAATATCATTCATTAATCTAACAATAATTTTCAACTGAAGCTCTATTTATGCTTAATTTAATAAATATCAGATGTGAAGTATTTAACATACAAGCTTTTATATTGTTTTTGATTGGCAGCCACCCAGATATCCGTATGGTTCACAAAGTGGCCAGTGTATGGAAAACATCAGTGTCGAGATCTCTAGCTTTATGTCGGTAAGTCCCATGGTGCAGTTCTCACAGCATGCTTCAATCTTCTCTATATCTTTGAACTTTCTGCTTTCTGAAGTCTGTTTGTCGTCTGTATTAATAAAAAAAAAATCAATCTCATATGTTTGTGTATAATTGTTTAATCTGCATGTGTGTGGTGTGGTGTTAAACTGCTCCTTATGTGAATTTCACCAATGCAGTTTTACGACTTTGTATGGATTGTAAAATAGCTTTTGTAACATATTGGCATTAATGTAAGGTAATATCAAAGACCTTAAAGGCATCTGAATCCTGAGTGGTTTTGCTTGGTGAAATTCAGGACCTTATAAAAGTCTCGTGAAATTGTCAGTAAAGTTTGTGTCTCGGTCTCTCTTTCCGCCTCTTCCCCCTGGTTCTTCTTCCTCACAGCCTTGCCATGATGACCCAGACAAAGAGAAAAGAATTAAGGAGCTAGAGCTGTTGCTAATGTCAGCTGAGAGTGAAGTCAGAAGACAGTCGGGCCCTCGTGTAAGAAACACTGTGTGTGCGCGTAGAATAGTGCTCTATAGGTCTCATCGCCTTCCCTCATTCCCCATCTTACTCCCCCATACCCTAATTTCTAGCTGTGCTTCTTAGTAACTCCTACCCGCCTTCACTGCCTCCCTGCCTCACACCCTCCTTTGTGGTTTTAGTGGCTAAAACTACAGCAAGTGACAGCTTTGAGGCATGAAAGCATGTTTTTTTTTTTTTGCACTTATTTATTATTTGTAATATATGTATCATATTATCTCAAAATTATATTCACTATACATATTTTCCCTGCATATTATAAGATATTTTATTATAAATAATATTATTAACTTAATAAGTTGGCATGTATTGTATGATTAAATATTAGCATTTCATAAATATATTTTTCTTTGTTCATTCTGTTTGTTCTAAATACATTTAGTAGGTTAGGTGAAAATAATTGGCTTTAAATTATTCACCATTTCCTTGTCCATTGTCAGTAAGAATGCAGTGTATCATTACATAGAGAATAGATCGCTTTTAATCTTTGTTCAGTTAATATCATAAATGTTTACAAGATAATTTAGCATATGGTCACAAAGTAATATGAAATTCACATATTATAAGTTAAGTAGTGTAGGTTTATTGGCTCAGATGTGTGTTAACTCCACATCACTGCAGTTTTATCTTAATTGATTTGATCTTTTTTTTTTTTTTACATAATCTCTCTCTCCTCACTGACATGAATGTTTGGTTCTATACAGAATCCAGAGAGCTACTCCAGCTGGACGGACAGCCTGCCCGATGATACCACCACCACAGAGAGTGTGGAGGGCAGAGGGGTCGAGCTGTGTCGTTTAGAGGAGGGCCAGCCTGCTACGATGCCTCTTCCTGTCTCTCCCAGCAAGTTCCTGGCTGCTGAGGCCAGTGCTGTGCTGTCCACACTAGAGACCATCCCAGAGTTTGCAGAGACCATGGAGCTTATTGACTCTGTAAGCAGAGAATTACAAAAATCTAGTATAATATGTATATATTATAGCATATTTGTATTATTTGTGAAAATATGTTATAATATTTCTGTTATTTATACAAGTTGAATATTAATATTGTTACCAAAATAGTTAGTTCTGGACGATATTAAAATAAAACATCAAAAACTAAAATCAGTTATTTTAAAGGCCACAAGTAAATTTTAACAGCATGTTGTCCTATATCTGATATAGTACTATACCTATAATTTGCATCCCTAAAAAAAATATATATATATATAAATTCATTGTTTTCGAAACTGCATTTGGTCTTTTTTCCAAAGTGTTACACCCTTAAAGTATGTTCAACTTAAAAAAGGTGGTATTTATCTTAGGTTAGGTATGAATTTATAATAGATGTAATCGATTTCATATTTTCTATTTTTCCCAGTTGCCTTTTTACCGTATTTCTGATTAAATACTGTAAAGTATACTTGTATCAATACTGCTTGCATATAATTTACTCATCATCATAAATTTAGTTATTTAGTTCAATTTAGTAAAATGATCTCAAAGATGCATATTTTTACTCGTCACCTAATGAAAGTAAGGTAAATGTTTTGCATATGTTTTGATGCTTCAGGATCCTTTGGCCTGGAGTGATGTGACCAGCTTTGATCTCACTGAGGGAGGCCCCTTTCCAAAGTCCACTAACCCCACTGATGTTTGTACGACCCTGGAGAGGTGCACAGAAAGCCTGGCCTATCCAATAAATGCTCCCACTGTCACCGCGATGAGCAGGCAGTGTGCTGCGGTGAACCAGGGCAAGTCTGTGGCTCTTTCTAACACCTGCATGAACAGATTCAGCTCTCCACCACCGTCCATCATGACAAAGAAGAGGAGAGAGAGAGGAGATCAGTCACCTGCAGATGAAAGGAGCTGTGCATACATAGACAGCAGTGGGAACTCACCAAAAAACACCCCTGTCAAAGGCCTGCCATTCTCACCCTCTCAGGTATGGCTAGATTTATAACACAAAACACCTTTTAGGCCACAGAAATGTTTGAGTTCAGTCAAAACCTTTTTTTCACCCATTTAGTTCTTCAATGTGTCTGGTGGTGAGCCCTTGAGCCTCGACAATCCTGCTTTTACATCCACTCCAGTGTGTGGACAGAAATGCCTCCTCAACACACCCCATCATAGAGAGACCACACCAAAACACCAGAAGGAGAATGCAGGGTCAGGCATTATTCTTCACCTCTGCTGTTTGAGAATATCAAGCTGACAATCTCAGAATCAAGAAATGACTGATACTATTTATTGTATTCACAGATTCAGGACCCCAAAACTCCATAAGAACATCACAGTCCACACTCCAAGAACACCCACGCCTTTCAAAAACGCTCTGGCCGCCCAGGAGAAGATGCACGGCCCGTTAAGAATGGTGGTAAGTCCGAATGAAAACACTTTTGAAGCTGTGTCATTATTAAGAAGCCTACAGCGTCTGTGTGCATTGAATTTATTTAATACACGAGTTTCACAGTTTGAGTTGAATTACTGAAATAAATGAACTTTTCCATGACATTCTAATTTGAGATGCACCTGTATTTGTCAAAAAAAATTGTTTATAAATATCTATTTTAATAGTTCCAAAAACAGGCTTCATTTTTCAATTTCTTTGAATTTTTAAGTTAAATATTAACTTGATAGGTTACATAAGTTTCACCTATAAAGGCTATTCATACGTTTATCCAGTGCTTCGCTCGTTAATTTGCCTTTTGATATGTTACGTTTGTGTGTTCAGCCCCAACCACTGGCACTTCTTGAGGAGGACATCAGAGAGGTTCTAAAAGAGGAAACCGGGGCTGACATCTTCACACAAGTGCAGAACCAACCTCAGTACAGATCTTATGAGGTACTGGCCACTTTCTCACATATTTGTTCTCACAGTCATGCAAATGGGTTTAGCTTAAATGTTCAACAGCTTTTACCTAATGTTAACTCTTAAATTGAACACTAGTTTTTATTTTTAAACCGTGTCATTTGGGGTTCACAGCAGATGGAAGCTCCAGCAAGGAAAGTCAGAAAGTCTTTGGTACTGGACAGCTGGGAAAAAGGCTGTTTAAATGTACAACTGTTTCCACAACAGCAGATTAACAACAATGGAGCGGTAAGGCCGTTATCCTACTTTACAAACTAATGATGCATCATTAGTGTTTTTTCCTTTTTGAGTTTGCAATGCTTTTTGTTTTCCCTCTTCACCCACCATCTTCACCTCTCTTTTAGTCTCGCAGTGACGACCTACTGACCAGATCCATGCTCATGATGCCATTGACAGAGAAAGAGGAGAACTCTTGCTCTCCTGCATCACTGAAGGAATCATTTTCCATAGTTCGCTCCCTCAGCCCACAGGATAAGAGAGGAAACATGACCCAAAGGAGCCCACCTTACCAAACACCCGCTCTGGTAATTCACTCAGGAAAGAATCTGATAAGACATTAATCTATTTATATCCAATATGGCCAACACATAATTGACTTTCATTAACCCAAAATAAAATGTAATAAAATTTTGCATTTTTAAGAAACTTTTTTTTATTATTTGTTTTTCATTTTATATTTTTTCTTTTCTTTATTTATTTATATATCTATATTTTTCCCCCCCTAGCTTAATTTCAGTTTGCTAGTAATAATAATAATAAAGTAACTATAATGTATGTATAATAATACATAATTATAGTTGTTTTAGTTAACATTAACAACACCTGGTCAAGCTCAAATACCTATTTACATAACCAACAGGTCAACAGCGAGTGGGAAGCGGTGGTTTTTGGGAAAACGGAGGATCAGCTGATCATGACCGAGCAGGCCAGGCGTTACTTAAACACCAACCCTACCACCTGCATTTCCAGAGCTCTCGTCCTTTGAACGTCATTACTGCACTATAGCAACCCTCCTCTTTTCCTCTATCACACCGACATTTAACCTCTCAGACAATCTGGTGTAGGAAACAGAAAAAACTCACTATGATGACCTATTGATATAACAATGTACCGCTTAAGAAAAAAAAATGTATTGAAATGTAGTCACATGTAGTCAAAATACAAATAGCACTAGATTTGCAGAATTTAGCTAACAGTATTTTAACAGTTATTTTTATCCATTTTTAGTGTGCTGATTTTAAGGGCTGCTTTCAATGAACTTTTTAAAGAAGGATTAAATCATATAATTGACATTTTCAGATAGTTTTTAAGCTCTTTTTTTAGAGGATTTTAAAGACTGGTGTTAAGGATAGGGGAGCACTGGCAGTGTTGCACTACTGTAGTTGTTTGTTAGGGTGAGGAGCAGAGACCGTGTTGAGGAGTAACTGGATAGCACTTGCAACGTAATCGTTTCCGCTCCAAACGTAACGAAGGTTCCACCCCGATTACTTTATTTTATTTAAAAAAAATAATTTTACGAGTAGGACACTCACTGAATGTATTGTTTAGCATGAATCTGCTAAGTTAATGTCTACTGGAAGGTACCTCGATCAATTTATTTTTGTGTTCCTTTTTTTTTTTGCTCCAAAGTGAAGGTTGTTTAAATGAATTGTACTTGGAAAGGCATAAAATTGTTGACTTGCATGTTTGCAACTGAAGTATAAATCCAGCATCTTCGCTGCTTATGAAAATGTTCTCAGTTTAGCCAAAATCATGTTTGGTACCGATATTAATGCGCATGTCGCATTATAAATAACACGTTCCAAGAACTGATACGTAGGTGAGATTTGTTCGTTTAGAGCTGTAGGTTCTATTTATTAAATCTTTACTAATTTATTTATTTAAAAGATATAAAGAAAATTATTAATTAAATATCTTTTCTGATAAATATTTGACTACCTTCCATTACATATTTCTGATTTCAATAACACTGCCACTAATTTCTTGGCCTGTACAGTAAGTTTAAGATCCTTTCAAAGGTTCCGTCCTCTTTACACCAATTGGTTGACCGTGAAAGTATCAGCAAGCAGCATTCAGCCTCCAAAATGTGGGGAAATTGCACTTTTTTTTTAATATTATATAAATGTTGGTTTGTCATTAATATCTATTGTTTTATGCCCTCTGTAGTGTTTACATTTTGTTGTATGTGGGGATTTTTATTGGTGGCTGAATGTATTTAAACATATCATTAACACTGACATGTCAGGACGTCATCTGAAGGGGAAAATGGTGTAAACGTAGTTTCTCTCTTCCACTTTCTCGCTCTGGAAAAACGTTTGTAAGGTTTTGCTCGCTGCTACTGAGAGTTACGGAATGGACATAAGCACAATTGGCTGAAGGAAGTGTAGGACAATTGCTTTGCTCTCATATGAAGTGAAATGTTGAATGAAATGTCTTGCTTTATTATTTTACACTGAGAAGAACCCATGTAAAATAGTTTCAGGTTATTCACAATGATAAGTTAGTCTGAGCAAAAGAAAAACCCTGATGTTGAAGGATTTGGCAGTATTAGAGTTACATTTTGGGTTACAAATAACACATTTGTCTTATTCAAATTGAGGAAAATGTTTTGTAAAAAGTTTATTTTTGCTAATTGTAACCCGATATTGGAATGCAAAAACTGACCATCTGTATTCAAAGAAACACTACGCATGTCCCTCACCATATCTTCGTTACCGAAAGATTCATTTATTTTGACTCACATAACATTGTAGATAACTGTTTAATATGTAATCGCTTGTCTTCATTTTACTGTCAAAATGTTTGTTGGTCTGTAGACTTGAGAGAAGCAAGAATATGTAGCAATCTGACATGCATGAAAACAAGCAGCACACTTCAACTGACACTCATTTCTCATGCAATGTTGCGTATTTGACATTATTTTCCGCTGAACAATTATAACCTGCTTCTTTGATGTTACAACCAACTCGCCAATAGCCATGTTGTCATTCACATACCTAAAAATAAAAAAATATGCTCTTCAAAATGTGCCATTTGTGTATTTTTCTTTATAGGTCATGGCTTATTCTCTGAAACCGATTCAAACAGTATTTAATTTTTTGATTGACAGCACTTCCATCCTTCCCAGCACCTAATTTTTCATCTAGTAATCACCTTCTCATTCATGTCACACTGCAAAAGACCTCAAAGAGTCCTGTTCTCTTCTGAAGGCCAGGTGTTTACAGCGGTAATGGAAGTTGAGGTCTCTTGAGTTGATGGCTATCCGCTGTCACTGGGCCGGGGGGGGGTGGCGCAATCTCTGCCCTTGGGGTCCGTGGACCCACACCCTCCCTGAACAACACAGCTCTCCACAGGTCAGCTGCTCTCTCTAAAGAGGCCCACTCGCCCATGAAATAATGTCTTTTGGCTCTATTGTTCTGCATGTCTGTTGGTTTTGCAGGCCCATTCACTCAATTTCCCCTGAATAGAGGGGCACAAGGCCCCACTGACATGCCTTCTGCTGCTGACGGCCATTACAAGCCTATAACACATGTGCTCTTATATGTTTCTTTCAAATTTAGAGAACACTTTGCTATTGTATTTTTCAGATGGTCAATGCAGGCTTGAGAGATGTCAAAGGGGATAAATTGGTTGGCTGGTTTGGACTTTTGTACAGTGCACTGTGTGCTTGATGGCTACTGAAGCAATTTTGGCTCAACGCAAAACAAACACCTGTTGTATTCTCTGACAGTGATGTGTAAATTTAGAAAGAACTTTAATCTTTAGGTTGAAATCCAAGCCTTGGCCTTGATTGATGTGATTATTGGTCTACAAGTAGAAAAAATGCCTCTGCATTTACTGTCCAGCTTATACATTTACTGTAATATTTATGTGTACTATTTGTGATGGCTTTATGTATTTGGGATGTCTCAAGGAGGAGAAGTTCTGAAAAAGAACTGGGAACATATTATTGAATACATTGTCTTGTTAATCACGGGTCTAAAATATTTGTTGTAAGGCAAGGCAAGTTTATTTGTATAGCACATTTCATACACAATGGTAATTCAAAGTGCTGGGGATAAATTGGTTGGCTGGTTTGGACTTTTGTACAGTGCACTGTGTGCTTGATGGCTACTGAAGCAATTTTGGCTCAACGCAAAACAAACACCTGTTGTATTCTCTGACAGTGATGTGTAAATTTAGAAAGAACTTTAATCTTTAGGTTGAAATCCAAGCCTTGACCTTGATTGATGTGATTATTGGTCTACAAGTAGAAAAAATGCCTCTGCATTTACTGTCCGGCTTATACATTTACTGTAATATTTATGTGTACTATTTGTGATGGCTTTATGTATTTGGGATGTCTCAAGGAGGAGAAGTTCTGAAAAAGAACTGGGAACATATTATTGAATACATTGTCTTGTTAATCACGGGTCTAAAATATTTGTTGTAAGGCAAGGCAAGTTTATTTGTATAGCACATTTCATACACAATGGTAATTCAAAGTGCTTTACATAAAATAAAATAAAAACAATAATCACAACAATAAAACAAGGAATTCAACAGAGTCTGCAGAAATGCTTGGTGTTAAAGATATAGCCTTTATTAATTTATATTAATATTTTAGGACCTTTAAAAATATTTATCCAGTAATAGCAAACGAATTAAAAAGGAATGGAAATTCAAAAGCTAACTATCTCTTTTCATGATGAATCTACAGTGACACAATGAAAAAAAAGTATCGAGTCAATGTGAATTTTCAGTCTTTATTAATGAGTATACAATATATATAAAAATAATTACAAGAAAACAAATGTGTTCTGATTTACAAGCAAACGACTCTTATGAACTGATTATTTTTAGTGAACCAATAATACAGCTCAGGAAATCCCGTTCGAATCACGAACAAATAACTCTTCTGAGTCTGTACTTGTAATGAATCACTCAAGACCGGCAAACTTGCGAGTTCCCGCTTTATATCAGTATGTATGATGAATCCTTCACTAAATGAACTCACTGAATCTGTCAAGTTACTGAATCAACATCTGATTCACTGGCTGTTTTGTGATTTTATTAGTGACGTCCTGCCCAGAATGAAGCATTTTAAAAGGATAGTTCACCCAAAAGTGAAAATTGTAACATTACTCACCCTCATGTTGTTCCAAAACTGTTGACTTTCTCCTGAAGAATGTTGGTAACCAAACCGATTTGGTCATGCATTGTATGGACAAAAGAACACAGACATTTCTTAAAATATATTTTATGTTCCACAGAGGAAAGAAAGTTATACAGGTTTGGAACCACATGAGGGTGAGTAAATGATGAAAGACATTTGGGCAAACTAGGTCCATCAAACGTAACCGACTGATATGACAAAGTATTCTCTGAAAAACTGACAAAACCACTCTGAATGAATATTGGTCACTCTTTTTCCTAATATTATTTTTTATTTAACTGCAATAATGATCTTCCATATATAATCTCATGAGCGGGAATATCACCATGCACACTTTGCATGTATGTGTGTGTGTTTAGAGGTGTCCCAGTGCAGCATGTGGTACAGAGCTAGCCCGTGAAGCCCCTCCCTTGGGTCTGTGTGCATATTGCCTGCCATTGTGTGCAGTAGACAGCAGATGGTAGGCTATCGCAGCAGTGACAGACCCAGTCATCTGGCAGGCACCCAAAGTTCAGGCGGGAAACCCAGGCGTGGTGCTCCACTGCCGAAGGAGCCTATTAATATAGGTCAGTCTTTCCAATAGTTATGACTGCCTGACTGCTGGGAGGTTGGACACTGAGCTGGCCAGGCACATAGCTATACTGTAGAAGCCTGAGCTATAAATAAGCTCATTTAGATAGGTGATTTTTGAGTTTCGAGAGCAAAAGGGGGGCCTTTTAAAAAACAGAGGCCTATTTGTGCTGTGTATAGTGTTCATATACAGTGTAAGTATGAATGATTCTGCTGCGCACACAGTTTAGTGTGGAAGCCTGTCTCTGTCGCAAAATAAAAAGATAGAAAAAGGTCATTGCAACTTTTTATTTTTATTTTCACAATTCCCATATCTCATAATTTTGAGTTAACATGTTGGAATTTATTCTTTCTCAAAATTGCGAGTTTATGACACACAATTCTTGTTATTTCTTGCAATACCTTGCATTTTTGAGTTTTATCTTGTAGTTCTGTTTTTTTCCCCAGAATTGTACGTTTATATCTGACAGACTTTTTTCTTAAAATCCTGCAGTTGCATATCAAGTTTCTTAAAGTAAAATTTTTTTTTTCTCAGAATTTTCTCACAGTTCTATCTTTTGCCAGAAATGCGAGTCTATATCTACAATGTTGACTTTTTTGGGGGGGATTCTTGAGTTTTTATCTCTTTCGTGGACAAAAGGATCTGTCTATGTTACAACATGCATATTTCCTTCAAGAAGAGTTTTGGTACATTCAATTTCATATTATTAGTGCACAAAATCATATTACGTTCACAAAATGCATTTTGTAATTCTATCCTTTATTTGACCCTCTAACTCTAACACTTTCTATTCTATTTTAATTCTACTTTATCTATATCTTCTTCTTTTTTTTTTAACAAAAAAAAACACTAGCTTTCTATTTTTTCTATTCTATCTACTTGTTTTTCTTTGTATGTGTGTGTGTGTATATGTGTGTATATATTATATACAGTATATATATATGCACCTTGCTACATGTACTGCGTTAGGCTAACCGAGACTTGTCATTTGCACTTATATATTGTTGCTCTTTTGTTAGTTTTGACTGCTTTATTGTCCTCATTTGTAAGTCGCTTTGGGAATGTCAGAATTGTGAGATGTTAACTCAAAACTGTAAGATATAAACTTAGAATTATGAGAAATAAAGTCATAATTGTTAGCTAAATCGTCGCAATTACTTTTTTTTGTTTTTTATTCTGGGGCAGAAATTGGGGCTTCCATAGTATAGACCCTGCACTGCTAATGAAACAGGATGCAACTCCAAAAGTGGTCCAAGACAGATTTGTTCTTGTTTGAATGGGCTGTCCTGGTGAGGAGACACCTGGTGAATGGGGTGGTGGTTGTGGACACTGTGTTCTATGGGTGGGGCAGATCTAAGTCTTTCTCCAGACGAACAGCTGTTCCTCAGGTGAGCTGCAGGACACATATGCTGCAAGATGAACACTTCGCAGACTGACTGTATACATGCTTTTTTGTGTTCTTATTTACTCTTTTGAAATTTTGAAGGTCCTGAAGTGCAGTAGCACATCAATGTGACATCAACAGTCACTGTATCAGTGGATTAGGGTTAATAAGGTTCTGTAAGAGCCCTGTATAAGGGTCCAGGAGAAAGCTGAAGTCATTGTGACCAGTAAACCAAGCTTAGCAGATGGCCAAGGCATCTTATTAAGCTAAAAACTGAGAAAAGTCAGTTACTGAGGCTGATTCAAAGGAAACAGTAGCAAAAAGTTAATCTTATAATATATATGGCATGCATGATGAGCACCTCATTTCAAACTTAAGTACAAGGATTGGATTTGGTGGCTGTTCTAGAAAAGCAGCCAGACGGTCCATGGGAAGATAATTACTGCTGTTACATTAAATACATGTCAGTGATTGAGAAGTTTGACATGTTTATTGATCAGACTTTTTCTGTGCAACTGAACAGCAACAAGGCAAGAAAAAAAGTTATTATTTTTATTTTATTTTATTATTATTCACAATATAGAATGTATTCTAGTCAATATATATAT